AGATGAACTTACCGAAGGGGTGTGTCTACAAGCCAATCTATGATAGCAGAATTGGCAAGTAGCTGGGCCGAGGAAATCCTCTGCAATGGCTGTTTCAGCAGAAGCAATTGTGACGGTGACGAGCAATAAGATAGTAAGTGTCACGATGCACCTCCGTTGAGAGCCGTACAAGAGCTCACGACAGCTTGAAGAAGACTGTCGACCACATCTTTCTCAGGAAGGTTGAGATTGGCGAGAGCGGCCAAGCTACGACTCCGTAGAATATTTTGATCCCTGTTCACACCACCTTCATCGAACAGGTGTCTATAAGAAGAGAATCATGTGAGATATTGTAATCCTCAGCAAATTTGTGGCACTCACTTTCCTGTCAGAATTTGAAAAAAAAGGCATCCGAGAGACCACAAGTCGCTTTTGACGCCGTATCTCTCGCCTTTCAGCATTTCCTGTTATCCACAGAGGAGGGTTGGGACAGGTTTAACAGCCACAACTCGTGTGTCTCGTGCACAAATACTCCACTCACTGGCGACCTGAAGCCAGGCGTCTGCATTAAAGGGAAGAGTGAAGTACTAATGCAGTAAGCACGGCTGCATGGTACGATAGGTTGAAGGACGTATGTGCTTACACCTGCGATGCCCCAATGTCCTTTCGCGTGTTTGTCACGTACGATTGCCAATCCAAAGTCGGCGATTTTTGCACGGAAAGCGTGGTCGATCAGGACTGGCAAGTACAATCCGTGAGTTCGATTCTTTTGCGTCAGCCTCCTCGCCACGTCTATTGATGTTTTGTATGAAAGGCAAGAAGTTAAGCATTTGCTCACCATTGGAGGGTTTCAAGTCACGATGAATCACCGACACTTGGTTGTCATGACCTTCATGAAGGTAATGTAATCCAGCGCAGACTTGTGCAAAGAGATTTCGTCGGAGCTCAATATTGTCGCTCATCATTCGATGATCTTTCTCAGCCTCATACATAAATGACAGAAAAGCCGGACTTACGTGGTCTTGTTTCTCTGAGCCAAAAACATTTCTAGGTCCCCATAAGTCCCCAGGTCCATAAGAAGATGCAATGAACGTTCGAATTCCCAATGCTCGAGTAAAGCGATGACGTTGCGGTGCGCCAATTTCGAGTGTAGTGCTGCTTCTTGAGCAGCAAGCTTTCGTTGCTCGGCGTTGGTGCTGACCGTGACGATCTTCAGAGCGAAAAGCTATGATTTCTATGGCTGAGCGAAACTCGTTTCAGACTTGTTCGTTGTACATTAAACGCACCTTCTTGTCCGAAGCTCGCTCTACTTCGTAGACTTTGCCGAAACCTCCTTCGCCCAGCAGGCGACGACCGAGGTAGAGAGGTCTCGCTTGCAAGGTGCCCATGTTCATGCTGGTGCCAATTTTCATGGTGTTACGAGGATAAGGTTGTACGTCAAACAGATGGGTCTAAAAATGAGCCAGTCAGGCCCCGAGCTACATTATGAATCTATGTCAGGCGGAAAACCATTTTGTGTTGGACGATTTGCTCATCGTGATGAGGGGCTGATCTGATCAGGGCGTGACACCGTGTAGTCACGTGCTCTCGGCGACTTGCAGCTGACAAGAAAAGACGCCGGCTGTCGAGCAGCGTAAGACCTTGCGATTTTCAGCTCTGGTACCTTTGAGCGGAGAACTGCTGTCTATACTGCCTCTCACGCTTGCAGTGTTTGACAAAGTGTACAACCTCAAAACTTGACCTTCGTTTTTGTGTTATTAGATACATTTCAGAAACAAAACGCGAAATGATTCAAATTCAGATCTGGGGACTGTTGAAGACTCAGATCCCTTTGTCAAGATTGTTCCCTTTGTATGATGGCACCTGGCTATAATAGAGGATAAAGGCTCAGGGTGGTCTTAAATTTCGATCATCTTCGGTTCAGCACACTCGACAAGTTATCGATGTCAGACGCCCCAACCGAGCTCACTCTACCCACGGAATCCGAGCTTTTACGGATTTCGGGGATCGAGAGCTTCGTTCAATCGGCTTAGAGAGTATATGGATGCAGGAGAAGGGAAGAATGAACCTACTCACGTAGCGATCATTTATCGAGCGTTCCTTGAGGCACTCGCCCGGGCACAACTTCAAAGCTTGGACAAAGCGCCAGACCTCTTCTTCTCTTTTCGAGAAAAGGAATTTGTGGTGAGCAAAATAGAAATCTTGAGCTCAAATCTTGCGACCATCGTTGACTCTCTAACCAGGTGAAAAACATCACAAAAGATGCCAAAGACAGAGCTCACCGAAGAACGAAGCTTCCAGCCTCACAGAAGAAGGCTCTTGTTGAGCGCCACGAGCGACGGCTTCAGCAACTCATGGGTGAATTGTTGGACAAGCCACGAACACAAGCCGTACAGTATCCTGCATCGGGAATGAGGAGAGAGGACTGGACGCAGACTGCAATTTCCACGAGCGACCTCTTTGAACATTCTTCTCAGAGCTTAGATAGGTCAAGCCGTGTCTCTCTTGCCTTGCGGAGTCTTGGTCATGCTGAGAGTCTGCATTACGGCGCATCTCAAGACGTAAATTCGAGGTATTTCGAATTTGGACATGCTTACGCGAATTTGATCGTGTCGTCCGCAACAAGCTCGCTCGATTACGTCGCAAGCAAGGGCTTCCACGACGAAGCGTATCCAGCTCTACTAAAGATCTTGCAGAATCAACGAAGTGAGCCTGCAAATTACGCAGGACTTCGAAAACGCGCCGAGCGAGCAAGAAAGTTTTTCATCGTAGCGCACCTGTTTGGAATCTCGATTCTCGAGCGCGCAGAGCTAATCAATGTCAGTAAGATCGACACCATTACCTTCGCCATGCTCTCGTCCATTATGGCAAATCATATGGATATGGTTCAGCGCATCAAGCAGATCCACTGAACAGGCGGAGATTGATTCGTGGAGTAGCTTCGTCGGTTTCGTCGGACGTTTTGATGTCGATGGGGCCGCTCATTATCCTTTTCTTTTAATTTCAGCCGCCGGCTCCTCCTTTCTTACTCCACTTGAAATGGTCTTAGCCAAGGATTCATGCAAAGTGGATGCGTTGCCATTATTTGTGCTAGGGTAAGGGCAGGCTCGGAGAATGCCCCTGTGGCCCCGTGGGCTTCTTAACAAGTCTCCGTGATACGAGTACGACCTAAATTCTTCGAGCCTTGGCGCGATATTCATTCTTTGATTACCGACAACCAGGCACGCTGCAGCCGTCAGTTATGGCACCTTACAAACCGTCACACTCTGCTCTATTCTCTTGTCAGCAAATTCTTTCAAGATGCAATAATTTTATCTACTGCAGCTGACTTAGGCATGAGTGGTACTTCAACATTTTCGTCTCCGACAAGCGCCACAAATGCGTCCTGGCTCCAATCAACCGATAAGCTTCGTCATGACTTTGCAGAGGTCCAGTCCAGAAGCCATCTGTTATGTGCTGTGGGACATAGCTTTGGTCGTGTACATTGCAAGTTGTGTCAACACAGCGAGAACGATGGAAACGACAATACGAAGATTAGTACGAGAGCAATGGGAACAATGGAAGCAATGGGAACAATGGGAACAATGGGAACAATGGGA